AGTAGCAGGAGCGTTTCGCATACCAAATGCCATAATGGTATACTCTAAAAAACAATCAGGAGTGACAAAAGCAGAGACCTCCTGTCCACGTTTAGTCAATGGCACCTGCCAATATCCTTTTAGAAGGTCAAGAGTGGTCACAAAGCGGGCCACACCAACATGGTCAACACAATCCTCCATCCTGGGGAGAGGAAAACAATCAGGTTTGGTTACTGCATTCACTTTTCTATAGTCGATGCAGAAACGGTCCTCACCGCCAGGTTTTGCGGTTACTAGACAAGGAGAACTCCATGTACTAGTGCTTGGTACAGCTAAACCATGGTCCAGCAAGTACTGCACTTGTTTATTTAAGCGGAGACGTTTTTCCGGATTTACTCGATTTGGGTGTTGTTTTATGGGCTTTATTTCACCTACATCAATATCATGTGATATGATATCCGTCCTAGAAGAATGTCTGTAAAAAGACAGGAGTTAGAGCTAATCAACTGTCTGAGATCTTCTTCCTTCTGACTATCCAGATGTGAAAACAACAAGTCTGGATTACGGAGGTAATGAGAATTGGAGAGCTTTCCTTCAAGGATTTTAGGAGGGGAGCTGTCCACCTCCTGTTCAGCACCGGAGAGCTCATCCTGGTTTTCTACAAGCTGGGGAATTTTAGAAACAACAGAGAGGAACAACTGACGTATTGTTCCGCTCAACGTACTGTTTTAGCATATTAACATGGCAAAGTCGAGAAGTGCGCTTCCTACCGGGAGTGGAAATCAAGTAGTCACGATCATTTATCTTTTTCATAATGATATACGGACCACTATAACGAGCCTGTAAGGAATTTCCAGGAATAGGAAGTAAAGCTAGCACTTTTTCACCAGGCTGAAATGCTCTCATTACAGCTTTTTTGTCAAACAACGATTTCATTCGGGCTTGTGCAGCTTGGAGGTTAGTTTTAGCAATTTCACAAGCACGAGTTAACTTTAAGCGGAAATCACAGACATAGTCTAATAAATTTTTGTCAGTCTCTTCACACATCCACTTTTCTTTTAACAACTTTAACGGACCACGAACTTCGTGAGCGAAAACCAACTCTGCGGGGCTAAAACCCAGACTCTCTTGCACCACTTCTCGTATGGCAAACAACTGAAAGTGCACCCCCTCATCCCAATCTTTATCAAATTCTAAACAGTAAGTGCGTAGCATAGTTTTTAGAGTTTGGTGAAAACGTTCAAGGGCACCTTGGCTTTCTGGGTGATATGCAGTAGAGCAGGAATGTTGAATGTCTAGTTGTTTTAGAACCTGCGAAAACACCTTAGACATAAAATTGCTACCTTGATCGGTCTGCACCACTCGTGGTAAACCAAACAGCGAGAAGAACTTGGTTAACACTTTCACTACGACTGGGGTGGTTATTTTCCGCACTGGAAAGACTTCTGGAAAACAAGTGGAGGCACACATTACCGTAACTAAATATTTATTTCCAGCTTTTGTTCTAGGCAGTGGTCCTACACAATCCACCAATACCCTCTCAAAAGGTTCAGCAATGGCTGGAATGGGATATAAAGGAGCAGGTGGTATTGTCTGGTTTGGTTTCCCAGATTTTTGGCAAAAATGACATGAATTACAATGACGTACCACATCTTTCTTCAAGCCTGGCCAAAAGAAATGACGTAACACGCGGTCATACATTTTCCTTATGCCCAGTTGGCCAGCTAGGGGACTGTCATGCGCCAAACGTAAAACTTCTGGTCGATACCGAGCAGGGAGAACAATCTGTGTTACTATATGCCACTTCTCATGAGGAGAGGCTGTCAAAGGAGTCCATCTACGCATTAAAAGGCCATCGTTCAGGAAATAACCAGTATTCAGCTTTTCAGGGTTATCAGTTATTGTGTCGCAAAAATGTGAGGATAAACTATCATCCTTCTTCTGAAGGTCAATCAACTGTTTCCTAGACATGGAGAGCTTCACTCCCTCTAAATCATCTGAGTTCACATGACCTCGATCAGTCTCAGAATTAAACAGAAAACTGTCACTCAGTTCGACTTCTTTCTCTTCTTTTTCCTTCTCCAATTGATGTTTTAGAGCAGCACGAGTGACTGCACACGAGATGAAAACATCAGGGTAGGTGCGAGCTAGGTTATCTGGTCGAGCTGAAAACACTGGTACAGGAGTTACCTCTGGAGTGACTAATACTCGGCCTCCAGCTAAGTCATTACCCATGATCATAGAGATGCCAGAAATAGGAAAAGTTGGGCGTAAGCCTACCACTGCATCTCCTGAATACAACTCTGACTGAACCACAATTTTACATAAAGGAACCTTAACCTCCTACATGCTAAAACCACAAATGGGAACTCCAGCTTCAATCTCATCAACCTCATCACTAGGCAAAATACCATCCAGAATAAATGACTGACGCTGCTGTGTCACGCAGTATTTTAACAGGTTTTTTTTTTCTGAATGAGATGTATAAATAAACCCATTCATGAAAAAATGTTTGAAACCATCAGGTTCACAAGATTCCTTATTTTGCATTTTAATTGCAGCTACTGGCTTTGGATCCTTTCTTTGTAATTTAGGGCAATTCTTAGTGATGTGTTCTTCTTGTTTACAATAAAAACACCTTACTTGAGCTTTCACTTCACCATCACGAGGTTCACAGGCACATCACGCTCTCTGTGAGGCAAAACCGGTCCTCTGGGCTTGCCATTACCTTTGGGTTGAAAAGGTTGAGAAAAATCAACACTGGGCTTTATAAAACCAGGACCTCGGTTTTTATCAAAGCTTGAGCGTTCAAAATGAAGTTTATGCATCAGCATATACTCATCAACCAAGATGGCAGCTTTAGAAACCTCAGACTCTTTATTTTCATTTAAATAAGTGGTTACTCTCTCAGGTAAAGTCCTTTTAAAATCTTCTAGCAGAATCAACTGCCTAAGCTGATTAAAATCAGTTATTGCACTTGCAGCACACCAACGATCAAAGATAAGCTCTTTTTCTCTGACAATCTGCATAAGACTGATTATCCAATTTCTTCCATTTTCTAAATTTTTGTCGGTACGCTTCTGGAACCATTTCATATGCACGTAAAATAGCTTCTTTTACTTTAGCATAAACCCCACTATCAGTTGCAGAAAGAGAGGCATAAGCATCCTGAGCTTTTCCTTTCAACACCGTTTGTAACAACATTGGCCAAACATTTTCTGGCCACTTCAACGTACAGGCGATTCTTTCAAACATAATTAAGTATTTATCTACGTCTTTTTCATTAAATGGAGGTACCAATGAAACATGTCTACTCACATCGAACTCACGAGCAGGTAGAGGAGAAGAAGCGCTTTTCAACTCCTTTAAACGTATCTCGGCGTCCAGCTCCATTTTTCGTTGTTCAAAGAGAAGTTTTTGTAACGTTATTTCTTTTTCATGTTCCCTCTTCTGTTGCTCAAGTTCAAACTCTTTTTGTTGTTGTTTAAGCGTTATTTCTTTTTCGTGTTCCCTCATTTTTAACTCAAGTTCCCGCAAGCGGATCTGCTTGTCTACCTCAGATGGGGAAAACACAGGGCTTCTAGGGGACGTTGCCGCAGGAAGAATTCCTATCTGCACTAACGCAGCCATTAATTCACTTTCCACAGTTTCTCTTCGTGTGCGTTTATCCACAGTGATTTCATAATAGTCTGCCACGCGTAACAGTTGCTCTTTAGTGCAATTAATAAGAACATCTACTGTGGGCTGTTCCACAAAGCTTCCTAGATCAAACTCCATGATCAAACACACACAGGTGGAGAGCTGTGTCTAACGGTTCACACACACACAACAGCGGTAAACACTAACGAAAATTTCCCAGCAGCACCTGAACGCACCGCTAGCAAATTCACACACACACACAGCTGACAGCGCTCAACACAGCAGACAGCGCTCAACATAGCTGACAGCGCTCGCTCAATCAGCCGTCTAAACAGCAAAACAGCAGAGCTATTTATCAGAACTAATTTGGAACTACAACCAGATCAAATCCCGGACCCGAGCTCCCAATAAATATGTTACGGCCGGCTCAGACCGAACATATTTAAGGGACACAGGACACCAAAAGAAGGTTTAAAAATAAAACTTTATTAAACCTAAGTTTTATAAATCACTCCGGGCAGCAGGCGAAGTCTTCGTGGGCTCCTCCCTCCTGGACTGGAGAGCATCTTCTTCAGGACCCGTGTCACCAAACAAAAAGAAAGTAAAGTAATAAAAAGAAAGGTGGACCAGGTGAGTTTGGCCAAAATCAATATAACGCCGCCTGAGCAGGGCCAACCCTGTACAGGGTCGTCGAAGCCTCACAGACAGCGGACTACCTGTCCAAAAGATGTCTAGGAGTAAAGAAAAAAGACGAAAACAGGACTACCAAATCTCACCCAGTCAGAGGGCCTTAGTCTGAATGAATGCAGCGAACGGGAGGAAAGAAACAAAACTGACCCAAATCGCAGGACCGTCCACGGTCAGCAAAATGTCCAGAGGACCAGATTGAACCTCTCAACCAGATGGTGAGAGGTGATGACATCAATTTGAACCCCACCCACTGGAACCGGTACTGAAAGCATAATGGAAACACAACGTGTACCGTACCGAGTAGAGTAGAGCCGTGCTGTACCAGTACTACAGGTACTAATGGAAAAGGGGCATTAGAAGCTGCAGCCCCTGTACATTTCGGTCCATCTTTAGGACAGCTGTATGGAATGTAAATTTGTTGTAATTCACGTGAAGTACAACTAAACAACCAAGTTCTGTGCAATGACAATAAAGCATATTCTGATTCTGATTATTTTGCAACCTTGGATCTCCAGTGTAGACCAGGCCTCCCTGAACCAGCAGAAATGAAGATGTGTGCAGCATCCATTGTCCAACATTATCCATATGTCCAACATCCAACATGGACTCTAACCATTCAGCAGATCTAAATTAAACTTTTAAAACAAAAAACTTACAATAACTTAAAACTTATGGGACAGAAGGAGCTTCACCTGGTCTGAGTGTCTGCCACTGCTCGTTAGGTAGGATCACCTCAAAATCTTCAGCATCTTCAGTGTCCACAGTCATCTCCTCCTCTTCATCATCTCCTTCTTCTCCTCTCTCTGTGTTTTCCACCACAATCAAGCCTCCAACAGACTGAAGACAAAAAGCAATCGGAACTGCATTTTATGTGTCAGCCGTAATCACAAGTCACAATACTAAGTCGGAACTTCCAACAGGACTATAAACATGGCTCAGAAGGGTATGAATTTCTAAATGGACTACAGACAAGTGTGAAATCAATACCAGTGCAAGAGAGACTCTCTGTCTGCAGATGAAGAACATGGAGCCTGACAGATAACAGCTGCTGTTTGTCTGTGTGCATAGCACTATAAATAAGGACAGGGCTGAGAACTATGCAGTTCAACTACAGGTACACTGTACTGATCATTCAGTGAAGCTTTATGATTCTGTGCTAAAACCAGTAAGGAGCTGGATGTATTTCCAACATCTGGTTCTATTCTCAAACATTAAAGATTTACTTTCAGCAGTCAAATGTCTCACACTGTTAGAGTCAGAGATTCTTTATCGTCATTCGCACCACATGTGGTACATGTGGTAGAACAAAATTATGTACACAGGGTCCCAGTTACATCCAACAATAAAATGTAAAAGAAAAACAATGATAACATCTAAGATATGAACTAAGAAAAACATCAATTAAAAGTGCACTAAGCACCAAGCACATAAAAACATTACGTCGAACAGCAGCATGAACATGAGTCTGTGTGAGCAGATGAGTACACATGAACACATCAACATGAAACAGATCAGCAGCAACATGATGTGATTTTCACAGTGATTATCCTGGTTAGACATTCATGAGTCTAACAGCCTCAGGGTAGAAGCTGTTCCTCAGTCTAGTGGTTCTACACTTAATGCTCCTCAACCTCCTTCCTGAGGGGAGCGGGACAAAAAGTGTGTGTGCTGGGTGAGTGGGGTCCTTCATGATGCAGGTGGCACTCTTCCTGCATATGGAGGTAAATGTCTGTGATGGTGGAGAGACTGACTCCAACAGTCTTCTGTGCAGCCTTCACCACTCTCTGCAAAGCTTTTCTTTCTGCAGCTGTGCAGCCTCCATGCCACACGTTGATGCTGGAGCACAGGATGCCCTCCACTGCACAGCTGTAGAAGGAGGTGAGGGCTGAGCTTCCCAGACCAGCTCGTCTCAGCCGCCTGAGGAAGTAGAGTCTCTGATGAGCTTTCTTGATCAGGCTGGAAGTGTTGTTGCCCCAGCTGAGGTTGTCATTCATGTGTACATCCAAGTACTTGTAGCTGGAGACCACTTCCACCACAGATCCTCTTATGTTCAGGGTGGTGTAGCTGTGTTTGTTCCTTCTGAAGTCCACAATCATTTCCTTTGTCTTCTTCACATTGATGTGACGGTTATTCTCTTTGCACCAGCTCTCTAGGTGTTCCACCTCTTGCCTGTAGCTGGACTCCTCATTGTTTGAGATGCATCCCACCACCGCTGTATTATCTGCTAACTTTACAGTGTGACAGCCTGGATGGGTAGCTTCACAATCATACGTGAGCAGAATAAACAGGAGAGGGCTCAACACACATTCCTGAAGAGAGCCAGTGTTGAGGGTTATGGTGGAGGAGGAGAAGTTGGGGCTCCTCACTGACTGTGGTCTGTTTGTTAAGAAGTCTATTACCCAGTTGCAAATGGAGGGGCTTAGTCCTGGTGTGAATAGTTTGTCCCTGAGGGTTTGGGGGATCATGGTGTTGAAGGCAGATGTGAAGTCCACAAAGAGCATAGGGACGCTAAACACTAAGGTCGTTTTCACACCAGATAGTCCGGTAGACTCGGTTCGGGACCAATAGTCATGACCTTTTGTTTACATTTGAGCTGGTGCGTTTGCATTCACACTGCACTGTGCAGTCGAGTCAACCTCTTGAACCAACCTATTCCCCCATTCACCTGTGGGGGCGCTGCACGTAGAACTACTGAAAGAAACGACACAAAAACCTCTGAAGACACGTCTTCTTCTTCTTCTGTAAATAAAAATAAAAACGAAGTGGCATCAATCCAAAAAAGTTCAATCTGGTCCTCTGGACATTCAAAAAAACAAAAAAAAAAAACAAAGCAAAAGCATCTAGAAACGTTTCGTCTCTCATCCAAGAGACTTCCTCAGTCTGAGGTGCTGTTTTCAGCTCAGTCTCTTAAATAGCACCATCTCAGAGTGGATCAACCAGTTTGCTGCTGACAACCAAAACCAGCTGATCACATGCTCAAGAAGGACCATCAGCCTAACAATGGGTCATTAGCACACTGATGGCGTTTTACTACTCACAGAGGGCTGAGTGATACTAGCAATCACAGCATTGTAAGAGGGGGACAGTTGAACCTGGAGGCCTCCACCCCTGTTTAATGATGGACGATTTCTTTTCACAAAGATGGCCTCCTTTACTCCTCTCTCAAACCATCGTTCCTCTCTGTCCAGGATGTGAACATCTTCATCCTTGAAAGAGTGACCGCTGGCCTGGAGATGAGTGTAGACCGCAGAATCCTGGCCTGATGATGTTGATCTTCTGTGCTGGGCCATCCTTTTGGCCAGTGGCTGTTTTGTTTCCCCGATGTAAGACTGATCACAGCCCTCCTGACACTGAACAGCATACACAACATTACTCTGTTTGTGCCGGGGGACTGGATCTTTGGGATGAACCAGTCTTTGCCGTAATGTATTTTGGGGTTTAAAAGCCACTGGGACGTTATGTTTAGAAAATAAACGTCTCAGTTTCTCTGATACCCCCTCAACATACGGAATGACCACTGGTCTGGGTCTGGGTTCTTCCTTTTCACCTGATGGCTGACTGGAGTCCTGTTTGGGTTTCTTCTCTGCTTTCAGGAAGGCCCAGTTAGGATATCCACATTGCTCTAGAGCCTGTTTTGTGTAGGATTTCTCCTTCTGCCTGGCTCCCGAGCTAATGGGGATGCTATCTGCTCTGTGATACAGAGTCCTGATGACTCCTAACTTGTGCTCCAAAGGGTGATGGGAGTCAAACTGCAAATATTGGTCTGTGTGGGTGGGTTTGCGGTACACCTCGGTTTGCAAATGTCCTCTATCAGAGACTGAGAAAAGTTTCATCCTGCCTCAGCAATGCAAAACCACCACCTTCCAACATCAGTAGAGAGGAGCGGGATGCACTCACCACTCTTAGCAAGGACAAAAACATCATCATTCTCCCAGCAGACTATCATGAGAAAGTTTTGACACTCCTTAAAAGTGTCTTAACTTTGGAGTCTTAACTTAGGAGTTCTCTTAACTTAAGAACTTAACCACTTATGAACCTCTGAAAAGAGATCCAGGAAGTGGTTACAACAAGAAGTTAATAGATTGCCTGAAAAATTTGGAGCAGGACAAGGCTATTGACCGTATTCTGTACCACAGACTGTACCCAGGGGAGGCCACACCTAGTCTGTATGGTTTACCTAAAATCCACAAACAAGGTGTACCTTTAAGACCTATTGTTAGCATGATTAACTCTGTCACTTACAATGTTTCCAAATATCAGGCGTCTGTACTCATCCCTTTAGTTGGCAGCTCAGAACACCACATACAGAACACCAGGGACTTTGTGGATAAGGTGAGGGATGTCATCATGGAGACTGATGAAACAATGGTCTCTTTTGATGTCACATCACTCTTTACGTGCATTCCTGTTGATGATGCAGTAGAGGTGGTCAGTTTAAGATTAAAATCAGACACCACTCTGAGCAGCAGGACCACGCTTTCCACAGAACAACTGTGTCAACTCTTGAAACTGTGCCTGCAGTCAACCTACTTCACATATGGGGAGCAATATTATAGGCAGAAACATGGGTGTGCTATGGGGTCTCCAGTTTCTCCTATTGTTGCCAACCTGTACATGGAGGAGGTAGAGAAGACAGCCTTGACGTCCTTTTCAGGGACACCACCAAGTCATTGGTTCAGGTATGTTGACGACACCTGGGTTAAAATTAAATCTCAGGAAGTCCAACATTTTACTGACCACATCAACTCTGTGGATAAATACATCAAGTTCACACGAGAAGATGTAAAAAATGGCAAGTTGGCTTACTTGGATTGTGAGGTCTCAGTCTCTGATAGAGGACATTTGCAAACCGAGGTGTACCGCAAACCCACCCACACAGACCAGTATTTGCAGTTTGACTCCCATCACCCTTTGGAGCACAAGTTAGGAGTCATCAGGACTCTGTATCACAGAGCAGACAGCATCCCCACTAGCTCGGGAGCCAGGCAGGAGAAGAAATCCTACACAAAACAGGCTCTAGAGCAATGTGGATATCCTAACTGGGCCTTCCTGAAAGCAGAGAAGAAACCCAAACAGGACTCCAGTCAGCCATCAGGTGAAAAGGAAGAACCCAGACCCAGACCAGTGGTCATTCCGTATGTTGAGGGGGTATCAGAGAAACTGAGACGTTTATTTTCTAAACATAACGTCCCAGTGGCTTTTAAACCCCAAAATACATTACGGCAAAGACTGGTTCATCCCAAAGATCCAGTCCCCCGGCACAAACAGAGTAATGTTGTGTATGCTGTTCAGTGTCAGGAGGGCTG